TCTACATTTACAACTTCTTAGAAATCACAAGAGAGACATGTCCTTTGGGAAGAATGTATTTTTTGCTTAAAGGGCAGGTGTGTTAAGTCATCATTTCATAGTTAAGAGTTATGGTTATCCCTGGGCAATACGGGTTACTTTGAAAGTGGAGGGGTGATAGCTTTTGGCATATAATGTGGAAGTATTATAGTAATATTTCATATCCTTGCTTATTGATCTATGTGTACCATACAGTGCTTCTTAAGTAAATATTAACTTTCACAGAATGATACATCTAGTGTCTGTACTATTGTTGTTTAAGGATATTACTTACCACTAAATTCTCAGGAATTTCTATGAAGTAAGTCTGTAAGTTGTTGTGGTTTAACCCCAGCTGGCAATTGAGCCCCACACAGCTTCTCGCTCCCCAGTGGTGGGATGGGGAGAGAATCAGAAGGGTAAAAGTGAGAAAACATGTGGGTTCACAGTATCACAGTATCACAGTATGTTAGAGATTGGAAGGGACCTCGAAAGATCATCTAGTCCAATCCCCCTGCCGGAGCAGGAACACCTAGATAATGTTACACAGGAATGTGTCCAGGCGGGTTTTGAATGTCTCCAGGGAAGGAGATTCCACAACCTCCCTGGGCAGCCTGTTCCAGTGTTCCGTCACCCTCACTGAGAAGAAGTTTCTTCTCAAGTTTAAGTGGAACCTCTTGTGTTCCAGTTTGTACCCATTACCCCTTGTCCTATCATTGTTTGCCACTGAGTAGAGCCTGGCTCCATCCTCGTGACATTCCCCCTTTATATATTTATAGACACTGATAAGGTCACCCCTCAGTCTCCTCTTCTCCAAACTATAGAGACCCAGCTCCCTCAGTCTTTCCTCATAAGGGAGATGTTCCACTCCCTTAATCATCTTTGTTGCCCTGCGCTGGACTCTCTCCAGCAGCTCCCTGTCCTTCTTGAACTGAGGGGCCCAGAACTGGACACAATACTCCAGATGGGGTCTCACCAGGGCAGAGTAGAGGGGAAGGAGGACCTCTCTCGACCTACTAACCACCCCCCTTCTAATACACCCCAGGATGCCATTGGCCTTCTTAGCCACAAGGGCACAGTGTTGGCTCATGGTCATCCTGTTGTCCACTAGTACCCCCAGGTCCCTCTCCCCTACACTGCTCTCTAACAGGTCATTCCCCAACCTATACTGGAACCTGGGGTTGTTCCTGCCCAGATGCAGGACTCTACACTTTCCCTTGTTATATTTCATCAAGTTACTCCCTGCCCAACTCTCCAGCCTATCCAGGTCTCGCTGGATGGCAGCACAGCCTTCTGGCGTGTCAGCCACTCCTCCCAGCTTAGTGTCATCAGCAAACTTGCTGATAGTACACTCAATTCCCTCATCTAAATCATTGATGAATATATTAAATAATACCGGTCCCAGTACTGACCCTTGAGGCACTCCACTAGTTACAGGCCTCCAACTAGACTCAGCCCCATAGACTACAACTCTCTGGCTTCTCTCCTTCAGCCAGTTCGCAGTCCACCTCACTACCTGATCATCCAGTCCACACTTCCTCATTTTAGCCGCGAGGATGCTGTGGGAGACTGTGTCAAATGCTTTGCTGAGGTCAAGGTAGACCACATCCACCGCTCTGCCATCATCCATCCACCATGTTATTTCCTCATAAAAGGCTAAGAGATTGGTCAAACATGATTTCCCCCTGGTGAAGCCATGTTGACTGCCCCTCATAACCTTCTTATCCTTGATATGCCTTAAGATGGTACCAAGGATAAGGTGTTCCATCACTTTCCCAGGGATGGAGGTGAGGCTGACCGGTCTGTAGTTACCCGGGTCCTCCTTCTTGCCCTTTTTGAAGACTGGAGTGACATTTGCTTTCCTCCAGTCCTCAGGCACCTCTCCCGTTTCCCAAGACTTGGTAAAGATGATGGAGAGTGGTCTAGCAATGACTTCCGCCAGTTCCCTCAGCACCCGCGGGTGCATCCCATCTGGACCCATGGATTTATGGATGTCCAGATTGCTCAACTGGTCTCTAACCCATTCCTCATCGACTAAGGCAAACCGCTCCGTCGACCTGACTTCATCTAAGGTCTCAGGGTTGAGATAGTTTAAAGGGTACAGCAAAAGCTGTGCATGCAGCAAAGCCAAACAAGGAATTCTTTCACTTCCCATGGTCAGGCAAATGTTCAGCCATCCCCAGGACAGCAGGGCTCTGTCGCACATAACAGTGTGGGAAGACAAATACCATCACTGCCAATGTCTCCCCTTCCTCCTTTTCTCCCAGCTTCCCATGGCAAGCACGATGCCACATGGTCTGTGATATCACTGGGGTCAGCTGTCCCATTGTGTCCCCTCCCAACTCCTTGTGCACTCCCAGCCTCCTTGCTTGTGGGGTCGGGTGAGGAGCAGAAAAGGCCTTGACTCTATGTAAGCGCTGCTCAGTGGTAACAGCACATCGGTGTGTTATCAGCACTGTTCTCAGCACAGATCCAAACCATCATCCCATGCCAGCTACTGTGGAGAAAATTAATACTACCCCAGCCCAAACCAGCACATAAGTGCTGTTAGTTTTACAGCAGTGGAAATTGAAACACAGACACACAAATGCTGGCTCTCCTTTGGCCTTTATAGATCATGATTCTTTTCTGTTTCTCTTCTGGATTTTTTTAACACAAAGACCAGATGTTTCTAAATTAGATTTAATCCATTGTGGTTTAAAACCTAAGTGCTGGGTATTCCTACAGAAGGGCCTTAACTGTCAAAAGCTCATAGTAAATATTAGGAGGGAGAAGAGTTAATCTTTCCATTTTAAGACTTGTCTATGACTTTCTTTATTTCTTTATAATACTTTGCTCATGCCCTACTTGGTTAGTCTTAAGATAAAGAATAAACAGACACTGCCACTACAGTTTATCCATCCTTAACTTTTTTTTTAGCCTGTGGTGAACAGCCACTCTTAATTCTGCTTGCTTTTAAAGCCTCTGTTCTCGGGACTTGAACTTTTATAGATTTTGATTATTAACATGAGATTTATTTTGCCATCTATGAATTAACTTGCATGGAAGGGCTTGTGCACCTCTGTGATACTCAGTATGAAGAATGTGAAATAGGCAAATTGTACATTTGTTTTGCTGTGCATTTCAGCATGGATTCCTTATTCAGAAACCGTATCTCTCTCTTTTTGAAGCATATAATAAATCTGTGCACTTCATTTGGTCTTTGAAAGCAAAGTGGTATCCTCTAGATGTAAGTAGGTTTCATAATACAGGATGTGAAGCAGTCTGTATAGATGCTGGTTTTAAACTCTGTTTCTGCTATTTTAATGTCTCTGTAGCTTCTATGTCCCTTTCCTCACCTGTTGATGCCTTGCACTCTCCTGGGTGTTAGTAGAAATCCATCTACTTTGTTTCCAACACACCAAAATGCAAGCAAGTAATTAAAAGATTTCTAAGAGAAAATATTCATGTTGGAGGCCTATGTACTCAAATGGTATATTCTGTTAATATCAGTGTACCTCGTTATCCCATCCTTTATCTGAGGTATGGTTGGAAAGAAAAATGAAATTGAGAAAAAACAAAATTGTAACAAAAAGGACAAAATATTTATATTTATATGAATTTATACACATGTATATGTAGAACATTTAAGCAGAAAATACCTGGTTTGACAGTGAAATTGTTTACTATAAGTTTGCTCTGGAACAGTGTTTTCTCATCATTTCTCTCTGCTAAAGACAGATGTGAGTATATTTTCCTCTATCCATTAAAACTTATCTTGGTTCAATTATTCCTTAATTATTCTCTATTTAAGTTTATTGATTTGAATAATACAGTGATAACCTGTGAAGAGTCAGATGAGGGGCCTTTGTGGTTCACAATTCTGTGAAATATGATTTTGTTTGTCCTTTATTACCTATTTGTAAGCTTATTATGAACATATATTTGTGTTAAAATGTTATCATTTTCTCAATTACTGTCCAGCTGCCACAGGGAAGTCACTGGAGGCCAGATTTAGTTTATGATATTTCTTACATAAAGAACAACGAAGGAAAAAAAAACCCCACAGCTAAAAATACCTGTCATAACAAAACCTAATCTTTTCATGCCTTTTATAATAAAAAGCACAAAAATTTCAAGTTAGTGTTTAAAAGCCCTTTGCAACTTACAGTTAATTTATAAAAAAGCCTTCTGAATTGTCACTGTTCTTTGGAGCTTGCTGGGCAATGATCTTACCTGTTCCCCTGGTGTACAGTACCCTGCACCTCTGCCTGGGTTCCCTCCTGCTCATTCCACTGCTCCACCAGCCCTCAGACACTGGAAGGTCTGGAAAGATGTGATCATCTGCTTAAGATATGTGCTACCTCTGTTTCTTTTGTTGTATATAAAATTAGACCTAAACATAGAGAACAGTTCTGGTTTTGTTTGCTTCTGGGTTGTACTGATAGCAGGTTCTTTGTTCTTTTCTGTGAATGACTAATCCATGAAAAATGTCCATGCTGCCATGACTCAGGCAAGTTTCAGTTGAACACTGGCAGCTGAACAAGCAAGCATCTTTTGCCAGGCCTACCTCTCTCCCAGGGAACTCTGACAGGAACAGTTACCCTGTGTCTTCCCCTTAGTCTTCTCTTCTTAGCTAAGCACTAATGAAGCATGGCTCTTCCTTTTTTTGTTCCTCCTTTGAAGTCTGTGGTTGGCCTCTGGGAGAAGCTTATTAGGTACCCAACAGCCCATTAGCTTCTTCCAGACTCATCTAATGGGGTGTACAAACCTTGTATTATGCCACTGCAAAATTGTCCCACTGGGAGAAGAAAGACAAAAAGGTTGTGGAAAATAGATTAATAATCTCCTACCCCTTTCCAGTATTACATATATATATAGCCATCCATACACAGTCAGGCATCTACGTAATCACCCCAGCACGAGCAGAGCAGAACCTTTTCGTAGTGTCTAGTAGAGCTGCTGATCACAGAAAAAAAAAACAACACTGAAGTATAATTCAGAGAAGACTCTGCAGGAGAGAAACTTTGCATAAGTTTTCATTAATTTTAAGAACTGTTTAAAGTGCCATAAATAACTTTTCATTATATCTCAGTTAATGGTATGGCCTTCTTTATGCTTCTCTCCCCTGCTTTATCTGCCCCATTCAGCTTTGCTGATAATGCCAGAGCAGAATTAGTGGGAAATTTAGAGGTGAAGAAGTGTGGAATCATCTTAAGCAGACACCATTGTAACATATCTAAGTTACTTATATATATGACATGGAAGATTAACCCTTCTTCATACAATCCTGAGTGATTAAAATACAGGATGACAGAGCTGCCTCTTCGGGGAGGCTTTGGGCTGCTCAACAAAAATTGATTACCATCCCGTGTGTAGATTATTACACTGTCTTTAGGATTCTGCTAAGAACTGTGGAAACTAAACTACAGCAACTCTGTTTTGTTCAGTGTCTTGCATGCCATAGAACACTACTGAAGAAAGGTCTAGAAGTATGATCTTCCCAGCATTTATACTGATTTTTTTTTCCCTCTTATAAAATGCCTTTTTTCAGTTAACAGCTGATTTAATGACAAATACATATGTCAGCCATTATCCCAAAATATTTTTTTTTCATTAATAAGACTTCAGGCTAAAACTTTATACACTTTTCCTGCAATGTAAAACTGCTCTAAAACTATTTAATTCCATCTAATCATTTCCTTGAATGCTGTATCAACTGTGTGAAAATTAGACACTAGAAATGAGTCTTAAGAACCTGAAGTTGATAAGCAGTTAATACACTTAGTGCCTTATTTTGTATTTTATTCATAGGCAGCTGAGCTTTGGTAGTTTCTCCAAGTCTTTGAGCTTTATTATATTCAGTGTAGTATTAACCTATGTTGATTCCACTTAAATTAGCCTAGTCCAAGTCAAAGCAGACAGACTGAAGAGATAGTGCTTGAGCTGTGAAGACTTACTGTAAAGCATGGTTGTGCTGGTATCTGACTGTTTACTCTTCAAGGCCATTCAGCTGGAATATAAAGGTAGGAGTTTGGGAGGTGTGGGGGCCTGTGACTATCTGAAGCAGTTGAACTAAAAGATAGTTCTGCTGTAAAGAGACTGATAACTGAAAATGCTTGACTAGTTCATATAACTTAAAGCTGGCATATAATTTATACTTACAGTTCAGCATCAGTTCCAAAGCATTCATCTACATTTGATGCTAACCGGTACAGTCGTGTTTGTTGAAGTGTAGTGTCAGAACCTCAATCTTATTTTCATTCTTTGTTTCCTGGAAAGGAAAATTCAGAGAAAAGGTTTTCAGTTAGTAGTGCATGCATAGTCTGAACTGATCTTTAGTCTATCAGTCTCAGGATAAATCATCACAGTGAGAAAATACAGAGGATCTTATATGAAGTACTTAGACTGAATTGCCTTTATAATGTAAGATGTTCAGTGTGTACAATAGAGAGATAAATGGCATAGTCAAATGCAAGCTGGAGAATATATTGAATGTAGGGGGATAGAATTACTTGTAGCATCATTGTCATGAGACCAGTAAGAAAAAGGTGATCTCTGGAGAGCTTTGTGGGGAGCGAGTACATAGAAAAAGGGGAAGTCAGTCAAGGTGACACAGAAGTACTCTAGTGAAAGCATTACAGTATAAGTATTGGGGTTAACTGTGATGCTAAATAGAGAAAGGGGGAAACAACAGATAATGGCTGTTGAGAAACTGTTGCTCTCCCTGTGTAGATGTGATGTGTTTTCTAGGAGGACTATTACTTCTGTGCAGTCATTCATTAGAAAGGCATCTTTTTGTATGAAAGAGGAAGAAAGTGTTTTTCCTTGTTTAAGCAATAAAATGAATAATTTTAAAGCCACAGGATAATATTTGTATTTATAAAATACAAAAAGCCAAAAAATTCAAAGGGAAATAGATGCTTTATTAGAGGAACTTGCTGGGAGGAAATGTGTGGAAGTACTCTGCTGGGGGGGGGGAGGAATTGGTTCAAGTAACAAATTCTGACTGAAGTTTGTTTCTGAGAAGGGTTGTGTGTCACTGTAGTTACTTGGGGCAGTCAGCAGCAGAGGGTTTACATGCCAGCAGTACAATATTGTAGAGTTTCTGAATTGTGCTACACAAGCCACTAACTGTACAGCAGGACCTTTAAAGCAATCTGCTGTACAAAGAGTTTTTCAGAGCCTAGTTTGAAGTGTTGCTGCTACTGCTGCACTCATTACTCTTGAGTATAGTATGGTCAAGCAGGAACAGCTGGTGGTAGGTTGTCTTTTCATGTCTCAGGTTGCTACCATTTTCTAATGCCTGGTTGTTGACCCATCTCCTCAGGCTTTCATGCTTATAAGCATCTGATAAATCCAGGAGGCTGTATGGATCTGGAGGAGATATATTGGTTTCAAGGTAAGCTGTCAAGCTAGGAGTACATGGTTTTAGGAGGGCTGAAAGAAATAGAGCTGGGTAGTAGCAAACCTGTGTCCTTTGAACAAGGTCTTCTCTCTCTACACAGATACGTGCAGCCCTCATAGCTCCTAGAACCTCACGAGGATGCCACTGTATTGATGGTTAGATGAGTGTCACACACTTCAGTGATGCATAGAGAATCCCCTCTTCTGACTTGCCAAAACAACTGTCTTAAATCTGTGACAAGAGGAAGAACAAAGTGTTTTCACATCTCTGCCTTATTCCAGAGCATGGCTCAGTGGCACCAGAGGAAACTAAATCTGGAAAGTCAATAGTTTCAAGGAGCTTCATGAAAAAAATCGGTTTTCCTGAGTGAGGAGTGCTAACCAGGCTTAATTAAAAGGTATGATGGTTTTTATGCTACCAAAGTGAAGCTAGCTCCTTAGAGAAGCAGTTTTTCTGCTTATGTGTCTGCCCACAGAGATTGTTGTTGTTGTTAAATAAAACAAAACAGTTTTTCACTTAGCTACTGGCTTTAAACTAAGCAATAACAATATTTCCCACCCATTAAGTCTCACAGTATGCTTGTTGGAAACAAAGGCTGTGTCTTCGGTTGTGTGGGTATTGCTAGGCTTGTGAAGAACAAACTGTTTTGGTCATTCTCATGACTGGTGAACTGGGACACTGGGCAAGCTGAATCAGGTATCAAAAAGCTGGTTTGCAAGTCAAAGAACTCAAATTGTGTACTTCAAATACACCTCTAAACTGTGATTTCCTTTCAATGAGAACAGCAATTTGCATTTTTCTGTCTACTTAACACTTCAAAAGGATGTGACATTTTTTTAAAGAACTGGGAAGAGCAGACATTATAATTGAAAGAGTGGAGTGGGTAATATTTACAAAACCAGTTTATTCAACCCCTGGATGAAGATTGTCCAGTAAGATGAGCCTAATTTTTGCAGAAAGGAAAGTGTGCTATTTGTTGAAGGGTCTATTCTTTGCTATCAAGCTTGATGGATTAATTAAAGGAAAAGGAAGAATTTCATTAAAGGCACATTTCAAAGTTGGCATAAGGGATACATCTCTACAAGGATTTCCACTGAACAGGAGGCAGTCTGTATGTCACTGACTTGGGATCTGAATTACAGTACAAAGATGCTGATTCTTTTTCCCGTGTTTTAATGCTACTGTGAAGACAGTGTTCTCACAGGAGAATGGATAATTGGTACATAAACTCTGAAAATCCTGAAAGATACAGCAAGGCCATGAGAGGCCCGAGGAAGCCTAAACAAGCGAGATAAGAAGCAGCTGGATTTCACCGAGTTAATGAGAACTGTGTACTGTTGGCAAGCTTTCGAGGTCAAGTTCCCACACCTGTGCTTAACCAATTATATGCTGGTTGCAAAGGGTCTTCAAGACATGCATCCAATCATAATATGCCAAATCACTGGAAGTGCATGTAAGAAATAGTATTTAAGGGGTTAAGGCTTTGTAATAACGGGCTTTTTGTCTGAGCATATTGATCTCTGACTGAGTCCATATATATTCTGCGGCAATTGGCGCCCGAACAGGGACCCCCCATATTTTTCATATTGAAGCTGAAAGAATTAAAGCGCGTGGCACCGAAGAAAGTGGAAAACGCGGAGCCGCAGGGACGTCAGCTGGGTTCGATCCAGCAGGACCAGGATCGGGAGGTAGTCGCCTCGGAAGACACTGCGCAGTGCAAATGAGGTAACAGCCGACGGGGGTTGGAAGAGGGTTAGGATGGGAAAAAAAAAAAAAGGTCATCCTTAAACTCTTCCAGCATATCCCCTCAGTGAGAGGGATCGAATATGTCGATAATCTGTTAAAAAGATTGTTGCTCTGGAGTAAAGAAAAAGAGCTGATCCAGGGGGTTAATGAAGCTTTTGATCTCGGGACTTGGAAAAAAATTGGGGCACGCCTGTGGGATCAAGTTACTTGTGGGTTTAAAGAGGCGAAGTCTCTTGCTGCCCCCTGGTTACTACTAAAAGGGACTCTAGCCCCAATGAAGGCTGAGAAACAGGCGGCAAAATCCGCTTTTACAGCTCTGACTCGCCTTCACAACAGCAGGGCTCGGCACCTACATTACTTCAGCACCCGGTGCTACAGCCATGGTAGTGTCGTCTGTTTCAGGCATAAAACATTCTGGCCAAAAACCGGCGCGCAGTACAGTACGAAAGTTTGAGGACCCTGCGCCTTTCCCCTATCCTGTGTCGACAATGCCTTTACCGGCGGTAGCTCCAGCTGATACTCGGGAGCCAGTAGCGGCTACTGAGCAACCGAAACAAACTGATGTTAACCCTTTTTGTGCTGCTACTGCCCCTAAACTTAATCCCCAAGATTTTTTGCCGGGGTGGGAGACTCCTGAGGAGGAGAGTGTAACTGCAAATAAATACCCACCTGTGCCACATATATCACCGCTTGCATCGCTCCCACCGGAGCCGCAAAATGAGTGGAACTGGGGACAATGGACAAAATCCTTAGATAAACAATTGCAGGACTTGTGGGACCGTGTGGACAGATTGGGGAAGGAGAGGCAGCAAGCCCCAGAAAAACCGGAAAAACCAGATAAGATCAGTCCGTGTGATGTGCCGTTACCACCGACTCCTACATCTAATAGAGCTAATCCGAGTGCCATGAGATGGCGAGGCTGCATTCAGGATGCAATTATGCAAAGACGGTACTATTTTACCAATAGATGTTCCTGCTGCATTCCCTGTTATTATAAATTCTCAGGGACAGTCTGTCTGGACTCCTATGGACTGGAAAGCTATGAAAGAAATTAAGGGAGCAATTACTCAGTATGGGTTGTCTTCCTCATATACACAGCAAATGTTATCTGCTTTCTTTTCTAGTAATGTTCTAACTCCAAATGATTGTCTCAGAGTGGCTGCAATTTTATTAACTCCTTCACAGCTCCTACATTTTAAAAGTGGGTTTGAGGAGCTTGCTGCAAGGGCTGCAGATGAGAATTCAGAGTGTAATCCTCATCACCCTTTGCACGGTGTTTCATCTGAAATGTTATTGGGAAAGGGACAATTTCACCCTGATGGAGTACAAGCTCATATGAAAATTGAAGTTTTACAGCAAGCACACCAATTGGCTTTAGCTGCTCTGAAAGCTGTGCCGGAAGCAGGAAAGCCTAATCCTCCATATACATCAGTAAGGCAGGGACCTGCTGAGCCCTATATGCAATTTATTGACAGATTGACAGAGGCTATCGAAAAGAATATTGATCTGGCATCTAATGCTAAAGAATCGATGCTTATGTCTCTGGCTATGGAAAATGCTAACCCAGCTTGTAAGCGTATTTTGCAGGTTTTGCCAAAATCTGCTGGTCTTCAAGAAATGATGGATGCATGTTCTAAAGTGGGCACAGCAGAGGAAAAGTCTGGATACATGGCTACTGCCTTCGCCACTGCTGTTAAACCCCTTCTACAACAAGGTCAGGGTGATCATGGGGGTACTAAAGGTATGAGATGTTATAATTGTGGATGGATGGGGCATTTTAAAAAGCAGTGTACTGTAAAGAAAATCAGTTCAGCAACCCACCGCCCTCAGTGTGGTGTTACTGATTTTGCAGACAAATGTATTAAATGTGACAAATTTGGCCACAAGACCATTGAATGTCGTTCAAAGTTTAAAAAAGAGCCCCGTTGGGAAACTTGGATATGAGTGCGATGCCACCCCGCGCGACGACACAAAATCAGGGTGTCTGGACTGCATCCCCTCTGCCACAGCAGGGAGTGCCGGAGTGGACGTGGCAACAGCAATAGATTTTACCATAACTGATACTTCTGTTCATTGTATTCCATCTAAATTAAATGGGCCTCTTGGTCATGGGTTATGTG